ATGTGAAAACGAGGGGATTGAGGGGTTTTCTAACAAAATTTTTAGTAAAATTTTTAAGGGGTCCTAGGGAGGGGGAGGGTCAGATTGGAATTCGGGCTGTGGGTATGGGGGATAACCCGCAAGGGGGAGGGTCGGGTCTGGCAGTGAAGCGTGGCGTGGGGGATGGGGGACCCGGGATCGAGGGGGGGGGTTAGAGCTTGTCCGGATAGTTTTTTGAACATCAGTACTGTAGGTGGGAGGGGTAGATATGGCGGAAGGAGGGGGCCATATCGTGTTAGGGGAGTGCGCACTCGCTGTCTACGAGCGGTGGCGTGCTCTGGCCCCCAAGGCTCTACTCGCTCCTCAGGTTGCATAGACCCTCAGGACCCAGGCCTTCGGCTGATGCTGTGCAATGCCAGGTCCGTAGTAAATAAAGCCCCCCTCATCTGTGATCTTGTTCAGGAGGGGGGGTGCAGACCTGGCAGGTATTATGGAGACCTGGTTGGGCCAGGAGGGGGGGTTCCCCTCGTTGAAATGTGCCCGCCAGGTTTCCAAGCATTCCATCAGCCGAGGTCACAGGGGAGGGGAGGGGGGGTAGCGGTTATCATTAAAGAAGGTCTGAGACCGAGGGAGGCCACTGTTCCCCAGACGGCCGGCTGTGAATCCCTTTTTGTGAAATGGGGTCATGGGGTTCAGATGGGTTTGCTGAGCACGTACCTGGCTCCCTGCCACGTGGCAACAGCCCTGCCCGAGCTACTCAACGTCATCGCCGCGGTGGCGGTTGATACCCCTAAGCTTATGGTCATGGGGGATTTCAACCTGCTGTCCGTGGGTGAGACGTCAGAGATGGCTCGGGAGTTCATGGCTTCCATGACAGCTATGGACCTGACCCAGTTAATTCATGGCCCTACCCACACAGGGGAAACACGCTGGATCTGGTTTTTGTCTCTGGACAGTGGTTGAGAGATCTTGATATAGGGGATATAGTTACTGAACCCTTGTCATGGTCAGATCACTCTCTCCTTCGTCTCGACTTTCGAACCGCTGCACCCCGCCACAGGGAGGCGGAGCCGGTAAGATGGTTCCACCCCAGGTGCCTGATGGAACCTGACAGATTCCAGACGGAGCTTGGGCCATTTCCTGAGGTTCTGGCACACGCCTCGACTGGAGACCTGGTGGCCGCCTGGGATAGGGCAGCTGCTGGTGCTCTGGATCGGGTCGTGCCTTTGCGGCCTCTGACCCGGCGCCGATCTCAATTGGCTCCTTGGTTTACCGAGGAGCTGAGGGAGTTGAAGCGCCGGAAAAGACGCCTAGAGAGTAGTTGGAGGGCCAGTCTTTCTGAATCTGACCAGACACTAGTAAGATCCCACATTAGGAATTACTTAGTGGCGATAAAAGCAGCGAAATGTAGTTATTTTGCTGCTCTTATTGCATCATCAGATAATCGCCCGGCCGCCCTCTTTAGGGTGACCCGCTCCCTGCTCCACCAGGAAGCGCGGGAGGATCCCTTGGAGGGTAGAGCCGAGGATTTTGTTCAGTATCTGTATGACAAAATCACTCAGATTCGGGAAGATTTGGACTCCGACTGGGTAGTCTCAGGGGGAGAGACAGGGGCGGGTCTTGAGAATGTTATCTGGGATGAGTTTGATCCTGTGACCCCTGAGGACGTGGACAGGATTCTGGGTAGATTGAACGCAACCACTTGTTTATTGGACTCATGTCCTTCCTGGTTAGTACTAGCTTCCCGGGAAGTGACACGAGGCTGGCTCCAGGGGATTATAAACGCTTCGCTGAGTGAGGGTTGCTTTCCCGCCACCTTGAAAGAGGCGGTGGTGAGGCCTCTCCTCAAGAAGCCTTCCCTGGACCCGGCAATGTTGGTAAATTATCGTCCGGTCTCCAACCTTCGCTTTGTTGCGAAGGTTGTTGAGAGTGTGGTCGCGCAACAGCTCCCCCAGCACCTGGATGAAATGACGTATCTGGATCCATTCCAGTTGGGCTTCAGGCCCGGGTACAGCACGGAAACGGCATTGGTCGCGTTGGTTGATGATCTCTGGAGGGCTCGGGACAGGGGGTGCTCCTCTGTCCTGGTCCTGTTAGATCTCTCAGCGGCTTTTGATACCATTGACCATGGTATCATGCTACACCAGTTGGAAGAGTTGGGGGTGGGAGACACTGTGTTGCAGTGGTTCTCCTTCTTTCTCTCTGACTGGTCGCAGTCTGTGTTGACAGGGGGACAGAGGTCGACCCCGAGGCCCCTCATATGTGGGGTGCCGCAAGGGTCGGTCCTCTCGCCTCTCCTGTTCAACATTTATGTGAAGCCGCTGGGCGAGATCATCCGTGGTTTCGGGGTGGAGTACCATCAGTATGCTGACGACACCCAGTTGTACATCTCCACCCCGGATCACCCCAACGATGCCCTTGAAGTGATGTCCCGGTGCCTGGAGGCCGTACGGATCTGGATGGGGCGGAACAGGCTCAGGCTCAACCCATCCAAGACTGAGTGGCTGTGGTTTCCGACGTCCCGATATAGTCAGTTGACGCCATCACTGACTATTGGGGGCGAATCATTGGCCCCCACGGAGAGGGCTCGCAACTTGGGCATCCTCCTGGATTCACGGCTGTCTTTAGAAGAGCACTTGACGGCCGTGACCGGGTGGATTTTTCATCAGGTTCGTCTGATTCACCAGTTGCGTCCCTTTCTGGATCGGGACTCGTTACGCACGGTCACTCATGCCCTTGTCACCTCCCGCCTGGACTATTGCAACGCTCTCTACATGGGGCTCCCCTTGAGGAGCACCCGGAGGCTCCAACCGGCGCAGAGTGCGGCCGCGCGGGTGGTGATGGGAGCGACATGGCGTTCCCATGTAACATCCCTCCTGCGCGAGCTGCACTGGCTCCCGGTGGTCTTCCGGGTGCGCTTCAAGGTTCTGGTTACCACCTTTAAAGCGCTCCATGGCTTAGGACCCGGGTACTTGCGGGACCGCCTACTACCACCAATAGCCTCCCACCGGCTGGTACGCTCCCATAGAGAGGGGCTCCTCCGGGAGCCGTCAGCCAAACAATGCCGACTGGCGGCCCCCAGGGGGAGAGCCTTCTCTGTGGGGGCACCTACTATGTGGAACGAGCTCCCCCCAGAGATACGGAGGATCCCGGATCTGCGCACCTTCCGCCGCGCCTTAAAGACCTTACTATTTCACCAGGCCAGCCTGGCCTAATTTTCCCCCTCTTTTATAAAAGATTTTTAAAATTTTAAATATCTTTTAGTATTTTATATATTCAATTTTAAATTGGTTTTAAAAGTTTGGGGTTTTAAATTTGTCGGGGCCAAAATTATTTAATCTGATTTTATTCTATTTTTTAAATTTTGTATTGTATGTGTTTTTATTGTTTGGCTGTGCACCGCCCTGAGTCCTTCGGGAGTAGGGCGGAATAGAAATCTAAATAATAAATAAATAAATAAATAAATAAATAAATAAATAAATAAATAAATAAATAAATAAATAAATAAATAAATAAATAAATAAATAAATAAATAAATAAATAAATAAATAAATATTGTATTTAACTCACAGAAAAGTTACAGGAGCTTCTTATCTACCACAGACCACCACAATCATTATCTCTGATCCATCCAGAATCTGTCCAGGGTTAAACATCATTGTTTGATTCTTAATAATAATTAATTTCCTTAAAACTTTAATTAGGATCTTTCCCAACAACTGCTTTCCATTCCCCAAAGTCACAGGACCTCCTATAAATTGAAACTCAATGACTCTTAAGATTTGTTTTCCAGTTAAATATGACAAGTCCATTCCCCAATCTCCCTCAATCTCCTTGAAAGAATCCATTTCTTCAGTCATCCATTCTGCCACTTTGAGTCTTCAGGGTCCATGGCCTCTCCAGCCATCTCCAAGCAGCCTGCCTTCAAACCAGACTCCTCCTTCAGGGATGCCAGCAGCAAATTCAGTTCCAGTCCATCCATCCAATCCATCCCATTCAACAATTGTTGCTTGCTTCTGATTATTGTCTTTAAGTTGATTTGAAAGCATTGTTATTTTATCAAACTTTTTAAATGAAGTTTCAAATAAGGCTTGTTAGTTGAAAAACTTGATATTCTTTAAATCACATCAAATTAATTTATTCTAAGATCGTATTAATTACCGTATTAATGACAACATAGAAAAATTGATCACCAATGGCAAATTGTTATTCATCACGTTCAAATCTCATAGGAAAGATTAAAAAGGATTAAAAACTATTTGAGTATCATTTTGAAGACAGTTTTTATCCAATTATTATCCAGCCCCTCAGGTTTCTAATCACATGAGAAAATTGTTTGTGAGTCCTTTACAGAAATCCAGTGATACCACCAGTCTTCCCATAATCTATTTAGGAAGCGTAATGATGTGTGAGAATGACTTTTGGGATGAGGGGAAGAGAGGCTGCCTAGGGAAGGATCAGAGAAGAGGGGAGAATCCTGCAGCTGCATAATGGGAGAGAAAGAAACTCAGAAAGGATCCTGGCTAACTTTTCAGGCTGAGAAAAGAGTTGGTGGGAGATTTGTTCATTCAGATTTGCAAAATTTTGTTAATGTTGCCTTACAATTAATTAGAATTAGCACACCTGGAGGTGTTTTCCATCAGGATGACCAGGGAGAAGATTAGCCTGACAACTTTCTTCTTGATCAACCCATGCTTTCTGGGAATCAACCTCTTGTTTTCAAAGAGTTTGTGAATCATCTTTTTTTTTTCTCTGTTCATTTTATTTGTCATCTGCTCTAGAATGTTCCCTATATTCACCAATTGTATCAATTATATACTTTTTCGATATTTTGTCAGTATATGATTGACAAATTTTTCTCAAACTTTCTTATTCACTTATGGTTTATGGTTTATTAAGTTTGTATACCGCCCTTCTCCCGAAGGACTCAGGGCGGTGAACAGCCAAGGTTAAAATACATACAGTATAAAAATTAAAATAAATTAAAACAGAATTAAATCAATTTGGCTCCCCTAAAATTTAAAATGAAGATGATGACAGTATTTGTATCCTAATTAAGCATATTTGGAGATCAGACAATTGTAGAAGAAAGATTCAATGTGGGATAAGAAACAAAGTTCTCTGTTTTTCAAATTCCTGGATGTTTCCATTCTAGTTTCATCCCTTTCTGGAGAAGAACGAGTTTTTCAATATTTCTGAGAGAAAACTGTACTTGGACCAAAATGGAGAGATAACAGCAGATCTGGGCATTTTGGGCTTCTTGGTTCTCCCCAAGGGAGATGTCAGGAGTGAGATTCTGGCGTATTTTGAAAGACAGAAACTTTCTATCGACCAAGATACTCTTTCACTGCTAAAGTTACTCAATAAGGTGGGAGAAATGTTGGTGTCTTTTCTCTGTTTTTCCAAAGCCTGAGGTCCCATTTCCAGTGGGCAAAGCCTAGAGTCTCCAGGGTGGTTGGCCTCCCATGCCAGGTGGTGTCATCTCATGGAAGTTCTTCAACAGATGGGACCTAAGTGGAGTGGCTTTGCCATGTTTTATGGAAACCTTTCAAGATCTTACTGGTCTGAGCTTTTTTTCTTCATCACAGTTTAATTTCATATTAAAAAACCTAATAGAATAAAATTTCCTAAATCTTTTACAGTAAACTTTATTATCAGTTTTAATAAGAATATATCATCATATTTAAAACTTGTTTCACCTCCATCCCTCTGGACTACATTAAATAGAAAAGTATCTTATTATAATGTTATATGCCAGAAGCAAAAGGGAGGAACTAAAGGAAGAATTTGCCAGTTATTATACCTCCTGCATCTGTTTAGAAGTAGTTAGAGGTTTCATATTTATCTCAGTGAAGACCAGAGGCTACTTGTCTCCATCCATTTCTCCCTCCATTTTCCATGGATGAAGAGTCCTAACACCTTTTCTCTGGCATTCCTTGTTTTTCTGCTCAGTCCCTGCCTCAGTCCAAATGTGTGGAAAGTTGTCATCCTGGATTTGTCAAGAGGGCTCGAGAAGGAGAGCCAGTTTGCTGCTATGACTGCGTTCCTTGTCCGGAGGGGACCTTCTCCACTCAGGAAGGTGGGTCACACTGAGGAAAATGGGAGGCTTTGTGGAACTGGATCCATCCAGAACCTTTTCATGAAGGTGGAAGTTAAAAGACAGATCGAAGCTCACATGGGTTTTTTATTTTTAACCTGCACAATTTCTTATCTAAAAGGAATTAAATCAAGAAGACTTGGAAGGAGGGGCTGGGAAAGAGATGGGAGGAGGGATAGCAGACTGGGCAAGCTTTACTAACAGCAGAGGAAATACCTCTTCTGCTTTTTAGTTTGGATATGTGCTGCTATGTAGGGTTATTACAATGTTCATCTGTATGGTTTTTGGAACTGCAGTTACACGAAATTGCAAACATCAGCAATTCTCATCTTTGAGCAGTGTTTCTAGCATGTACAAGGACACAGGGTGAAACAATGTATAACCTGTAACATTTGCCGCTTTCAGTGTATCTTGTGTAGCTATCATTGTGTGTGAATACATGCATTTTCTCATGAAAACCAATGATGTAATTACTAACCAATTATTGTGCCTTGGAGATTTGTTAACCAATAATAAAGTAACACGCATAGTAGGTGAGAACTGAGAAACTTAGAAACTATATAAACTATGTCTGATGCTCAATAAAGTTGCTGTTGATTCTACTCTCAACTCTGCTATCCGTGGATGTTTTCCTTTCATACATCACACACATCTTCAGCCTCCGGGAAACGAATGCTACATTAAGTTCATCTTTGTAGGAACATCTGAGATCTTTGAAACTAGATGAATTGTTTCAGGTCCACCTTCTGAAAGACCTTGCAATTCATTGTTTATTGGCCTCCCTTGAGGATACTGAGAAGGTGTTACTGGGCCATAATGTGGTGCTGTGGATAGTAATGGGGGGAACTCATTACACAAATAGTCTTCCAATCATATAGATCAATCAATCAATCTATCAATCAGATTAGAGTAGAAGGAACTTTGGAGGTCTTCTAGTCCAGCCCCCTGTTCAAGGAGGAGACTCTAGACCATTTCAGACAAGTGACTATCCAGTCTCTTCTTATAAACCTCCAATGTTGAAGCGCCCACAACTTCTGGAGGCCAGCTGTTCCACTGGTTAATTGCTCTCACTGATAGGAAGTTTCTCCTTAATTCCAGGTTGCTTCCAGATGTTACAAGATGCTGTAGGTATCCTCCAAGTCCAGGATATTAACTTCCATGTGGCAGGACTAAGGATGTTTGCCTAAAAAGATTATATGATTCATTATTAACCTCTAATAGTGTAGGCTCCTATGAAGATTCTACACATTACACTGGAAATAATTAACATCATATACCTAGCTACATTTTTTAAGAAAAAAAATATCCTTCTTATGCTCTTTTTAATGAAATAGTTAAGAAATACTTCTTGGAAAATGCCTGTGGTATCAGCCGTTATCTAAAGAAGGTTTTTCTTCCAAGAGAAAAGGACAGAATATTAAAGATATATTGCTTTTTTGCTTTCTCAGATACGGAAAAATGCACCAAATGTCCAGATGATAAATACCCAAATGAGGACAGAGTCCAATGTATACCCAAAATCATAACCTTCCTGTCTTATGAAGAACATCTGGGCATAATCCTGGTCTCTTTTGCTCTACTCTTGCTCCTAAACTCAGGCCTTGTTTTAATCATCTTTATTAGATACCGAGAAACTCCCCTTGTCAAAGCCAACAACCGGGACCTCTCCTACATCCTCCTGGTTTCCCTCCTGCTTTGTTTCTTGTCTTCTTCTCTCTTCATTGGTCAACCAAGGAAAGCCACCTGCCTTCTCCGACAAACGGTTTTCAGCATCATCTTCTCAGTTGCCATTTCTTCTCTCTTGGCCAAAACCATCACGGTGGTGCTGGCCTTCCTGGCCACAAAACCAGGAAACCGAGTGAAGAGATGGTTGGGGAAGAGCTTGGCCAACTCCATCATCCTTTCTTCTTCTTCTGTCCAAATTATCATCTGCTCCATCTGGTTGGGAGTTTCTCCCCCCTTCTCTGACTCTGACCTCCACTCCCAGCCTGGAGAGATCATCCTGCAATGCAACGAAGGGGCCGTTGTCATGTTCTACGTCACCCTCAGCTACATGGGCTTCCTGGCTGCCATCTGCTTCACGGTGGCTTTCCTGGCCAGGAACCTGCCTGGGGCCTTCAACGAAGCCAAGCTGATCACCTTCAGCATGCTGGTCTTCTGCAGTGTCTGGGTGACTTTTGTGCCCACCTACCTGAGCACCAAAGGGAAATCCATGGTGGCTGTGCAGGTCTTCTCCATCCTGGCCTCCAGTGCTGGTCTGCTGGGCTGCATCTTCATCCCCAAGTGCTACATTATCCTTCTGAGGCCAGACCTCAACACAAAGGAGCAGCTCACAGGCAGAACAAATGTAAAAACATGAGATATAACACAAATGTGATATTGGAAGAATTGTTAACGGTTCTTTTATTTGAAAGGAGATATTCTTTCATTTAGATAGTATGCAGGAGTTAAAGAAAATCATATGTATATGTTTCAAATTTGGAAATTATTGAATTCTTGACAAAGGAGCAGTTTACAGCCAGAAGAAATGTGTAAATGTGAGACTGAGGAATTTCAACTTTTAACATTTTCCACATTCCAAACATAGAAAATGGTCCAAGCTCTTCTGCATGCATGAGTGGGCCAACTATTTTTCTTGAAATAAATAAAAGGTGTGTGGAAGATTGTGAGGAGACAAATTTCTTGGAGAAATGGGAGCATGTTAGCAAGACAGAAATATAGAAGGAATGTATGGAGCAAAGTTGATGCCCTCATTTCTCAGTACATTTCACCCAAACTGCTGTGGCAACTGAGACGTTTCTTTTTGTTTACACAATAACTCTTTCTTGAGGGTAGCAACAATACAAGGCTGGGGAGGTAACTTGCTAATTCTGAGTATTCATGCTCACATCATCTATTAAATGAAATATGCATATGTACGATTGTCCTTTTCTCCTCCTTTCCTGGAATGTATAAATATGAGTGCATCCTTTTGTCTGTAAAAATTTCCTCCCACTATTTTCTGGAGGAAATTCCTCCAATGGATGCTAAATAAATAACAACTGCAGTGAGCCTGGATTATTGGTTTTTTGGCTCCTGTGTTTGATTCCAGAGAAACTGGTGTCAGGAGTGGGATTCACAATTTTCCATCTGTCACCAGGGACAACAGATGGGGCAGCCCTACAGGATGAGTATTGAATCCATATTGATCCCATAACCCTTCCCACTGCCACATAAAGGCACCATTGAGGAGTGTGTGTGAGGCCACAATCTGTGTTTAAGTGTCTCTTGTGGCTGGAAAGGTTTGTGGTCCCTTCCGTCCCAATTTCTCAGCTGCCCTGGCCCTGCTGTGAGCTCAGCCGAGCGATGTCTGGAGGTGTCCAGGAACTGAGGGGGAATTTGGCTTTGCAGAGTGAGAGGGACCCTCTGTGGAAGAATGGAGGCTGACCCAGAGGTTCTGTGCAAACTCCCTTTTTTCTTGTTTTCTGAATGGAGGAATTCAGCTGATCCCAGGCAGGGAGGGAAGTGGATGATGGGGCTCAAGCGGACTCTGAGTGGGGAAGGAATCTTTCCCAAAGAAACAGAGAAACCTGCTGTGTCCCAGGGCTGGGAGGGGGTCCGATGCCCCCACTGGTGCCCCCAAAGGCTGCAAAAGGAGAGAGTGAAATTGGAAGGGATCATTAAAAAAAACCCTCTTCCTCCTTGTGAGAAGAGAAATTCCTGTATCTGCACAAGGCTGTAACAGAATCCATGCAAACAGAAGCAGGAAAGCCAGTTTTTATTTTTGTTAGATTTTTCCCCAGTGTTTTATTATTTTTTCAAATAACTAAAGCAGGTGAACATCTCCAACTCTTCTTCCTCTTCCTTTTTTTCCCACAACAATCACCCTGTGAGGTGGGCTTGTCTGAAAGAGAGTGTCTCTCCCGAGGTCAGCAAACAGGCTTTCAGGGCTAAGGCAGGACTTGAACTCAGGATCTATTGCTTCCTAGCCTGATACCTTAACCATTGTCAATGTTAAGGCAGGGCGGATTTTGGGCAAAGGCCCTGCTGGTCCCCACTGCCGCCTCGTCTTCCGACAGAACCCCAAGTCCCCCCTCCCCCTCCCGGGTCTTTCTGGGGTAGAGCAGCCCCATCCGAGAGGAAAGGAGAGAAACTCCTGGACACAGAGAGCCCCTCCCCCATCACAGCCCCTCCCTCTTGCCAGGGTTCAGCTAAGACTCACTGCCTGTAGGGGGCAGCATAGAGTCTGGCCCTGAAGTCCTAGCTGGGCCCTGGGAATTGAAATCGGGGCCTCCTGGTGATTGGCTCAAAGCCCCCAGCCGCCTTTGATGCCTAAGGCGGGACTAGAACTCAGAGTCACTTACTGATTGGCTCAAAGTCATTAAAGCCCCACCTTTTCTTGATAGCAAGATAGGTTGGCCACTGCCTTCTCCTCAACCTACCCCTGGCATTTCCTGGTGGTCTCCCAGCCCTGCTTAAGCTTGTCCAAATCAGACTGCTGCTCCATCCTACAGCTAGTCCTCCACTTACAACCAGAATTGGGACCAGAAATGGCATTGCTAAGCTAGGCGGTCGTTAAGTGAGTTGTGCTGAATTTTACCATGTTTATTGCCACCGTTGTTAAGCGAATCACTGGGGTTGTTGAGTGAATCCTGCAGTCATGACACAAACGCCGCTTCGCCCACTGATTTTCCTGGTCATAAATCTGTGTTGATTGCCAGGCACCCAAATAGTGACCTTGTGTCCAAGGGGATGCTGCACTAGTCGTAAGTGCGAGGACCCATCATAGGTGGCTTTTTTTCAATGGCCGTGGGACTTGGAACTGTCACCAAATGAATGGCTATAAATCGAGGACTCCCTGTAGGATACTTGGTTAGGGACTGAACCAGCGGTGAAATGTAAAATTTGTTACTACCAGTTCTGTGGGCGTGGCTTGGTGGGGGGGGGGTAATGTGACTGGGTGGGCGTGGCCAACTTTTTTTTTTTTAATTTTTAAAAGCATT